TTAGTGTTTAAGGGTTTAGGGTTTACCCTAGGAGTCAGCGCGACCTCAGCGAAATCATTCTCTTCACCGCCAAAGAAAGAAACCCTAACCCCACAACGTGGGGTGAGGAAAGCCGTGACTCTCCCAGAGGGTCCGAGCGCCCAAATAGTAGGTCCCGAAATCCATACTCTGAATGGTTTTTGGACCTTGAAACCCTACTATTTGGGTACTTGGACCCTTAGGGTCTCGTTATCGACAATGACGTGAAGCAGGAACTCCGCATCGAGGCTTTGCGGAATCTTCTACCCCAAAGGACCTCTATAAGAACCAGTAGCAAGCCCAAAACCCCATAGAACGCTCCCAGAGAACCCAATACCCCTTAAAATAAGGAATATACCTTAAAATATAGAGGCCTTCATATTATGATTTATAAGGTAGTATATTCCTTAATTAAGGGGTATTGGGCTCTCTGGGCTTATAGGAGCCATATGGGAATTCTCGCGGAACCCCTCCCAAGAAGAAGTCTGCTGCAGGCCTTCCCAAACCTCAAGGGTCCAAAGGACCCAATAATCACGTACGTTCGTTGCGGATGGTAGTTATCTAGGTTAATATTTGGGAGAGTATATGATTATTAGGTACTTGGACCCTTAGGGAAACCCTACACCCCCACAAAGAAGCCTCTTGAAACCCCACCTCTTGTCTGACCGTCGCGTCGCAGACGAGGATTGCGGGACGGAGCCTTGTCTAGTGGCTTCGATGTTTTTACGTAGGGGAATCAATGATTTGAAGGGCTTTGGGCCCTGGGTATACCTAAACCCTATGAGGGTTAGCGCGGATCTTGGGTTAAACCCTCATGAACCCCTAAGCCCTTTCTCAGAGCCCTAAACCCTACCTTAACCTACCATAACCCACTTTTTTGTAGGTGCTTATTATCAACCCTCATATGAGATTTACAGCGACCCTACAAAAAAAGTAGGTTCTGGTAGGTTAAGGTATTGGTTCTAGGTTCCCCTGTAGCTCCTAAATAATAAGGGTACGCTTTTTCCTACTATTTGGTTTTATTAAGGGAACCCAAAAAGAAAAAGGGTGAAAGGGTACTACTGGGGAACCTAGGGTAAACCCTAAACCCTAAACCCTAAACCCTAAAACCTAAAGGGAACCTAGGGTTAGCCACAAGCCTTCTGCTCCAGGACTTTTTCTCGGTGCAGGCAAGGCACTCGCTTAAAATCTGCTGGTTGCGGCTCGCCTGCGACGCCTTGGGCTTTCGGGGTTTAGGACGTAGGGGATTTAGGTTTTAGGGCTTGGGATTTCGGGCTTAGGTTCAGAAGCTCCTGCAACATTCTTATAGAGTCTAGTCCCTAAACCCTAAACCCTAAACCCCTAAACCCTAAACCCTAAACCCTCAGAGTCTAGTCTGCCTGTGGCTTCAAGGCTTCTCAGAGACTCCCACAACTCCTTGATTGAGAGCAAGATACCCTAAACTCTAGAGGGGTCCTGAGCATGACTGAGCTATGTCACTATCCCTTGCAGTAAGGTGATGTGAAATCTCTGCCTTCTCGTCTATAACCTTGGCTGACTTCTGAACCCCTCCAAACAGTTAAGCGTTTAACCTACGTTTTATAGTTCATGTTAGACACCCAAAAAGTTACAGTCCTAAGAGCCAGCCAGAAGAACACCAAGTAATTGTAGGAAGAACCACCAACCCCATATCCTGGCCCAGCGCTTTAAAAACAGTTTGGGATACCGTTTGTTGCTTTAGGTTTGGGTATCGTCACCCCTCGTAAACCACCCGAGGGTTCCTTGGGGTTTAGGAAGATAGAAGGCCAGGTTTAGGGTTTAGGCCGGCTTAGGGCTTAGGGTTTAGGGTTTAGGTTTAGGGTTTAGGGTTTAGGTTTAGGGTATAGGGTTCAGGCTTTAAGAAAATCATGCAGATTTGTGAATAAGTGGTTTGTTTTTCTTTGGCGAAGAGTTCAGGATTCCGCGCCTTGGCCCCTACACCCCTAAACCCTAACGTTTTGGCTCAGGGTTTAGGGTCGGGGCCGTTTTGGCTCCAATAGTCCTGATAGCTTGGGAATCCTCGGTTTAGGGTTTAGAGCTTAGGGTTTTGGGAATCCCGCAATCCTAATCCCCATCTTCCGAATCCCTAAAGACCCCAAGACCCTCACGTCTATCATTTATGACACACCAAAGAGATTCAGCAGCTTTCCTCAAGAGGTTTAGGACGTTTTGTGTAGAACTATTAATAGCAAATCTAAAACATACAGGCGAGGTATGAGTGCAGCTATAGTCAAGTTCAAAGTACCCTACACCTCCCTGTTGCCCCGAAGCTTCGATCTGAGCCCTTCGCCCTCTGTACTGCCAAACGGTATCCCTGCAATCTACATTATGCAGGTCCTGCGGCCGGCCTTGTATTAAGTCCAAAAGCTATCCCTACGATCTGCATTTAAGGTCTTACGGTTGCTTACCTCACGGCGCTCCAAAAGTAAGGCATCCGCACAAACCCATAACAAAGATCCCCTACTAGGCCCTACTAAAGCCCCCACACCCTCAAACCCTAAACCCGAAACCCTGAAGCCCTAAACAATCAAACCCCACGCCTTAGCCCCGCACCTGGTCAGGATGATCGGTGCTCATTGCAGCGATCGGGAACTGGCAGTAGCTTGCAGCCAGGAAAGTCACATAGAATTCCTGGGAGAGGCCCGCAGGACCCAGCACTATAGGGGCACCCTAAACCCTGAACCCTATACGACACCTTATAAGGAATAGTCATGGATATTATTCCGACCTCTATGGTACGGATTAGCTCAGGGACATTTCGGGTCTAGGGTTTGTAAGGGTTTTGAGCTCACGAAGTAAGATTCAAGGTCCTACCACTACTGCTACTGCTACTGCTACTACGACCCACTGCGACTGCTACTGCTACTGCCACTGCGACTGCGACTGCTATTGCTAC